TAATTATAATAATAATAATAATAATAATAATAATAATATAACTTTATTTACTACATGTTATACAGGGCTAGCTGACATCAATGACATACTGCTATATAGAAAGCCTGCCTGCACTTATTCAGTTAAGCTCCTAAATTATTGGGAAGGCTTAAAGTACCTTGATCTGTATTATTTGGAACACAGGCAAGATACATTATGATCTACACCTGGAAAATTCTAGAAGGCTTAATCCCAAATCTGTATACAAATCAGTCCCCCTGAAAGTAAGAGGTTTTTCAGAGTGTAAATTACCCCAGTGAAAAGCAGGGGTGCAATGAGTACACCAAGGGGAAAATTCAATAAGTGTGAAAGCGCCAAGATTTTCAATGTTCTCCCTTCTTACATACAGGGGATTACCAACAGGTCAAGAAAAACCTGTAAAAGTTTCTCAAGTCAGTGCCTGATCAGCCGGGCTGTGGTGCTTATGTCGGACTTTTGGCAGCTAGCGCCAACAGCCTGGTTGATCACATCATCCACTTGGAGGCCTTGTCTGGTACTGGGCCATGAAGGCACTGGCCCTTAGAACACTCTCCAAGTAGGCAGTGTTGCTGTAACAGAATCAGGGAGTCACAGCTATGCTTCTGAAAAATTTTTTACGTTTGTCTTAGAGCAGGTTTCACAACAGCCACTGATATCAGAAACACAGTAGTATATACCATGTAAGAGCAACCCAAAGGTGATAACTCAACTCCCTATCTCACAAGTGAGTCTGGCTTGTCACCAATCAGAAAATCACACCACTGGGTACCAGTATTTAGATTTCATCTATAAAACAAGTGTGAAGTTTCAAATTCAAGGGAATACGAGGTCACCCCACCCAGAGTGCGCAGTTGGTTGCAAAGGTGAAGTAAATCTGATGCAATTCTTTGCCCTACATAGGCTCCAGCACATGGGACCCTCTTTGGAATATTCCAAATTAACTTGGCCATATCACAAAACATATACATTGTATTTCACAATTAAAAAAAAGTACTCATGTATTTCATAAAGAATATTTTTAGAATGCAATATAATAGGTACTCTGACTTTAAGTAACTGCACTTTTATTTTAAACCTAGGGGAAAATAAATGGAAGTAATTCATCAATGCAAACACTGTAAACATAAATTTCATGGCATCATCATCAACTTAAGTTGTACAAGTTTCACAGCAGAGTACCTACATTTATTATTAACTAGCCACTACAACTGACATCAGTCACTAGTGAAATTAATAAGCTTATTTAGGTACAGGTACACATAAGTACAATTATCACAGTGTAAATTACCTAGGATAACCCCAAAAAAGGCAGTGACTTATTTTCATTGGGGTCCTTCAACAATAGTACTGATGAGTACTTCCTGTAAGCCACAGGAAATCAATTGTTTTTAAAATACAGTGCAGTACTGTATTGCCAATTATATGCCACACATTCACTGTACATTATCTTAGAGCAAATTCATGTATAAATCCCATTTCTTATCTTTTAGGACTAAATTTTACAAATACGTACAGCATAACACATCTTAAATTTGGAAAAGTATCAAGTTTTCAATACAGCTTAACTATTGATATTCTTTATTTATACCAAGATATTAATCATTAACTTCCTGATAAACCTATAATACTTTTTCATGTATTGTAGGTTAGTTATGCCCCTGGAAATAAATGATAAATATAGATTTAGCACTTTCTTGTGAATATCAGTTAAACCTGAAATGCTAAGCATAATTAAGGGCATATCAAATATAAAGAAATTGCACACATAAATCTCGTGAAAAAAATGCAACAATCAAATGAAACTCCAGTTCATTCTCTCTAGAGCACTGGTGTGAGAGATATTAGGCATACAAGATATGCTAGGTGTGTAAAAGACACTAGGTGTATATGAGATGCAAGGTGTGTACGGGATGCTAGATATGTGTACGAGATGCTAGATGTGTACAAGATCCTTGATGTGTAAATGATATTAGGTGTAAATAAGATGCTTGATATATACAAGTTGATAAGTGTGTACAAGGTAAGTGCAGCCAACAGTAAGAGCCTGGTTGATCAGGCCCTGATCCACCATGAGGCCTGGTCACAGACAGGTCACAGGAGCACTGACCCCTGAAACCCTCTCCAGGTATACTAGATGCTAGGTGTGTAAGAAAGTTGATAGATGTGTAGAAAGATGGTAGATGTGTAAGGAAGATATTAAGAATGTAAGAAAGATTGTATAAGATGCTTGAGAAAGAAGGATAGATGCTGTGTGTACACAATGGGGCAACCACAGGAAAAGGAGGGCTAATAGAACTAAAGCCCCTACACAAATATTTTTCATTTTGTTTTCAATTAATGGCTAATTTCTGCTGTATTACACTGACCAGTAACCACAAAAGCATGACAGCTTAAGAAATTCCACATATTTTCAATGAAAATCATATATTTTGAAGATGATTTCTTTGAATTTTTCAGCATCTTATAATTTTTAAGCCTTCCCCTCAGACTGAAATCCTGGCTTGAGTTCCCCACCACTAGCATCTCATACAGTATACGAGGTGCTAGATTTCTACAAGATGTTAGGTGTATGCAAGATACAAGTAAGAAAAATGGTAGATGCGCAAAACACTGGCTAAAAAAAAATGCTAGGTGAGAGAGTTGCTTAGGTGTGCATAAGATGCAGATGAAAAGCTAGGTGTATTGAAGATGCTTAGGTGTGCATAAGATGCAGATGAAAAGCTAGGTGTATTGAAGATGCTTAGGTGTGCATAAGATGCAGATGAAAAGCTAGGTGTATTGAAGATGCTTAGGTGTGCATAAGATGCAGATGAAAAGCTAGGTGTATTGAAGATGCTTAGGTGTGCATAAGATGCAGATGAAAAGCTAGGTGTATTGAAGATGCTTAGGTGTGCATAAGATGCAGATGAAAAGCTAGGTGTATTGAAGATGCTTAGGTGTGCATAAGATGCAGATGAAAAGCTAGGTGTATTGAAGCTCCTTAGGTGTGTAAAAGATGATGGGCATTTATAAGAAGCTAACTGTGAAAGAGATGTTAGGTGTGTAAAACATCTAAATTTATATGAGATGCTAGGTGTTTAAGAGATTATAAGTTGGTAGGTGAGCATCTGTCTCATCATTAGTACACAAAAGCTCATGCCTCTACCATTCCTTATGGTAAATGACACATACAGGTCTTCCAGTATGTCAGAAAATGTGGTCAATGAGGTCAAATTTCAGAAGTATAAAAGTATAAAACAAACCCAAACCACTCAACAAAGCAGAAAAGGACTGTAAGAGTCTTAGGAGTAATATCAGAAAATTTTACATTCAAAGATCACAAGACTATTACTTTCAAGAATGCAAGGAAATTGACAGATGGATAACTTGAACCAAAGAAGATTTGCTCAAAATTATTATATGGGAGCAAGAGGCTCAGAAGACAGTGTAAAATATCTTTAATGTATACTGTAAAGCAGGGTATGCAATGAGCACACCAAGAAACAACTCAATAAGTGTAAAGGAACCAATATTTTTCAACACCCTCCCTTCATATATACATTTCTTTTGTAACAACCTCCCTTCATTTATACATAAGGGGAATTTCCAACAGACCCCAAACTGTCTCAAAATGGAATTTAATAAGTTCCAGGTTATGATGTATACAGTGAAATGTGTGGCCAGCATCAGCAGCCTAAATGATTAGGCTATTAGCCAGGAAGCCTGATCTGGGACTGGGCTACAGTAGTGGTGACCCCACCCCATACAGAATAGTCTTCAGGTAACCTTAAGGTAGGTGAGAATGAGATAAATTAGGTGAGTAAGATTGGCTAAGACATACTAGGTGGACTGGGTTAGGTTAGGATTCATTGGGTTCAACTGGATTAATTTTTAAATACTCCCACTGCACAACCACGTCGATTTCACAACAAAATTGTGGGTGTGGGGAACAAATTTCCAAGTAAAGTTATTGAAGCAAGAAACTTGGGTAGATATAAAACAAGGTTTGACAGATACATGAATGGATATGGGTATGTAAAATGGATCTGCCTAGCATTGGCCAGTAAACCTACTGCAGTGTTCCTCCCTTATGTTCTTGATTTTGCTCAGAAAATAATGCCAAAGTGGGACCCGAGAAAAAAGTAAATAAGTAAAAGATGGTAAATAAGTTTATTTAGGCACACGTACACATAAGTACAATTATCATACATGGTGTAAATTACATAGGATAACCCCCAAAAAAGTAAATGACGTATTTCCCTTGGGCTAAATAAGTACGAGATACACTACAAGAGAAACACTAGGTGAATAGGAGACCGTGTTCGAATTATTAACGAGAGAATTATTATACAAAGACGCTAAGCACAAGGACTATACAGCATTAACGAGAGAAGGGTTCGTAATCCAGGACAACCTAATAAAAGCCATGTGGCTTATTTCCATTAGTGTTTTATTTAGGTCTCCTCCAAGATACGACCCACAATATTTGACTAACGGGTATCTATTTACTGCTTGGTAACAGGGACAGTACGTGTTTACAGCCTTGATCATACATCCCACTCGTGTGGGGTTCAACCCCACGTCCCCTCGGTTGTGAACCCACCGTACTAACCATTACCCTACGAGGTACACACTAGGTGAGTAAGACACACTAGATGAGTAAGAGATATACTAGGTGAATAAGTGTTGGTGTGGCCTACATTTAGTGCCAACAGCTGCAAGACTGCAGATCAGCTGCTGCTTCAAGATAGCAGTTACTTGGATCAAGCTGGTGTATTTCCCTGTATCCCTCACCAACCCACCACTCCGGCGGCTTACATGATCAACCTTTGTTATGCTGGGGGGTATACATTACGCACCAATAAGGTGGAAGGCAGCCGCACATGGCCTTCTAAAGTGTCGAGCCATTCACTTGTCTTGACCAGCCGTTTTACTGAGTAACACCATCCGCCGCCCCATTTACTCCCTTTCCACTCACTATACACACAATCTGGCCTACTCACCTTTATCCGTATGTAATCCTCTATCGCTCTAAACGCTGAATCCGTCAACTTCACATGAATATAAGATTTATTTTGCGTCACATTATTACTGAGCCCAAAACTCCCACACCCTAGCCCCGCCATTTCTACACTGCCATTGAAACGTCTGCCAACCATTGCCTGAGCCAGGTTCCAGCACTCTTTTACCTCCTCCACTAACACATGGAGGCATCTTATGCCATTTACATCTCGATTTACGCTTTGTATTCAATTAAGAATGAACTAGGAACGTATCTTCGTTGCTTGTGGGAAGTTTTATCTTTCTCTGTGGGCTATGTTGCAAGATATTTGAATATGATAAATATTCGTTGACATCGTTTGGGAAGAGCTTAGTAGACTCATTGAATATAAAGTATAAGTATGTATTTTAAACGTTATAATACATTTACTACAAATTAATTATAATGATGTAATGATAGTATAATAAACAATCTATATGTAAATAAACTAATATATAACTACATAAGGGCTAAATCATATTAAAACAAGGACTAGATTCAAAGAAAATGGAGAGGAACACAAGGCCGCTGAATTTCAATACTCAATGACACTTTTCTTTTGTACATTTTGTTCTTCCAGTTTAAAATAAACATGAACCAAAGATATTCAAAATGTTCGTGGCTAAATACAAATGAATGGCAAACAAACGTATCGTAAGTCAGGGGTAGAGCGCTCAGCTCACAACCAAAGACCTCGTGGTTTAATTCTAATTGAGGTGCTCTATACTCAAATAATCATCATTGTACATTCTTCTTCCTCTTTTTCCTCTTCTTCCTCTTTTCTTTTCCTCTTTTTCCTCTTCTTCTTCCTCTTTTTCATCTTTAATCAGTACGCGACCTATAGTCTAATAAGGGAAACTACCCATGTCCACTTATAAAACCTATGTCCACTTATAAAACCCATGTCCACTTATAAAACCTATGTCCACTTATAAAACCTATGTCCACTTATAAAACCCATGTCCACTTATAAAACCCATGTCCACTTATAAAACCCATGTCCACTTATAAAACCTATGTCCACTTATAAAACCTATGTCCACTTACAAAACCCATGTCCACTTATAAAACCCATGTCCACTTATAAAACCCATGTCCACTTATAAAACCCATGTCCACTTATAAAACCCATGTCCACTTATAAAACCCATGTCCTTATAAAACCCATGTCCACTTATAAAACCCATGTCCACTTATAAAACCTATGTCCACTTATAAAACCTATGTCCACTTATAAAACCTATGTCCACTTATAAAACCCATGTCCTTATAAAACCCATGTCCACTTATAAAACCCATGTCCACTTATAAAACCCATGTCCACTTATAAAGCCTATGTCCACTTATAAAACCTATGTTCAGTTATAAAGCCTATGTCCACTTATAAAACCTATGTCCACTTATAAAACCCATGTCCACTTATAAAACCTATGTCCACTTATAAAACCTATGTCCACTTATAAAACCTATGTCCACTTATAAAACCCATGTCCTTATAAAACCCATGTCCACTTATAAAACCCATGTCCACTTATAAAACCCATGTCCACTTATAAAGCCTATGTCCACTTATAAAACCTATGTTCAGTTATAAAGCCTATGTTCACTTATAAAACCCACTTATAAAAACCTATGTCCACTTTTTTTTATTATTTTTTATTATCACACTGGCCGATTCCCACCAAGGCAGGGTGGCCCGAAAAAGAAAAACTTTCACCATCATTCACTCCATCACTGTCTTGCCAGAAGGGTGCTTTACACCACAGTTTTTAAACTGCAACATTAACACCTCTCCTTCAGAGTGCAGGCACTGTACTTCCCATCTCCAGGACTCAAGTCCGGCCTGCCGGTTTCCCTGAACCCCTTCATAAATGTTACTTTGCTCACACTCCAACAGCACGTCAAGTATTAAAAACCATTTGTCTCCATTCACTCCTATCAAACACGCTCACGCATGCCTGCTGGAAGTCCAAGCCCCTCGCACACAAAACCTCCTTTACCCCCTCCCTCCAACCTTTCCTAGGCCGACCCCTACCCCGCCTTCCTTCCACTACAGACTGATACACTCTTGAAGTCATTCTGTTTCGCTCCATTCTCTCTACATGTCCGAACCACCTCAACAACCCTTCCTCAGCCCTCTGGACAACAGTTTTGGTAATCCACTTATAAAAACCTATATCCACTTACAAAATGTATGGCCACTTTTGAAACCTATGTACACTTGTAAACCTGTCCAGTTGTAAAACCTACAGCCACTTATAAAACATATGTTCATTTATGAAACATATACCCACTTATAAAACCTGTCCCCTTATAAAATCCATATCCACTTGCAAAACTTATGTCAAATTATAAAACCTATATCCACTTATAATTATGATAATTATTATAATTATAATTTCAGCAAAATAAGAATGAAAACCATGAATAATTCTCATTAAAATACAATAATCTTTTATTGGCTAGATAAATTAGCAAGAGAATCTTAACAAATATAGCTTTCAATAAACTAATGTATGAGTTAGGTTATCCTGTCTGAGGCTTCATAAATGTAACTTTTCCAAGGTTAATATATATGGGTACAGGTTACCTTTGTCCGAGACTTCATAAATGTAATTTGACTTGGGTTATGTTAATTGATCGGTTTACCCTATCAGGGACGTGAAGCACTGAATTGGTTTTATCTATAGGTCCTCCGGCCCAAGGGCTATGCTAATGTAGTTACCAGTCCAGTTACTCCTTAAATAATATACTGTAAATTATATACTAGAATACTATATGGTTTTTTTTTATGGTAAGGAAACGTCGCTTAGGTACGCCAGCGGATGTGTAGTCAATGAGTTCGTCATGGTATGATCAAGTCTCGAGTCACGAGGCATTTTCCTGTTTCCAGACGAACACAACGCCACCACTTTAACTTAATTAATTCTGCAGTGGAATCAAGGACGGGAGATCCTGTCTGACGATCCTACTGGATTTCTATGCCAGGAGTTATTGAGGGAAAACAGAGAGTTAGAGATGGGTGGATGCACATTCCTGGACTGCAAGAAAGCATTTAATAAGTGCCCAACAAGATACAAATCCATAAGTTACAAGAGTAAGCAGGGGTGAAAGAGAAAGTCCTCCAGTGAATCAAGAAATACTTGAAAGAAAAAAGGCAAAGAGTGACAGCACAAGAAAAATGTATCATGAAGGGCGAGGTTAACAAATGGGGCTCCCAATGGTTAGTACTAAAGCAATTACTTTTCATGTTGTTTAAATTGCAGTACTTGCCAAATACATTCGAATCCTTCGTGTGTCTATTTACAGACTCTCTGAAACTATTAGGAAGAATCCGAATGGGAGAGGACATAGACTGAGTTAACAATTAAAATCCCAGAGTTTCCAGATGACACAAAATTAGGAAACCATACAGTGCACCAACTGTGGCAAAATTTGAAGGTGTTCAGAGGAACCTGGCTCGGCTGGTACAGTGGTTGGAAAAGGGAAGATGAATTTCAATGCAGACAAGTAAAAAGCAATACATTTTTAGGTAGTATATGTGCAGGAAAATGTATTTGTGTTTTCTTGTAATAATCTCTCATATCTTACACAATTACTGAATTCCTTCTTTGTGAAGGATGTTTTTATGAACAAGAACGTGAAAATTGGTAATGAAACTGTGTCCTAATTTGACTACGAGCTGCGTTTGATCATTTCCCGTGCAAACAGTGCCTAAACAAAGTAATTTTTTTCGGATATCTCGTCTATTGGCTTACAGGCTTTTGGGGATCACCGCCCGCGTAGGCTGGTCCCAGTCCAGGCCTCCTGATTGATGGCCTCATCGATCAATCTGTTGGTGCCCGGAACACATAACCATCGACTAACACCTACGTAATTTACTTACAAGTGAACGGGACCTTCCAGATAAGAGATAAATGCTTAAATTGAGTAGTGAAGTCCACCTGACGACCGTTCTTCAAGGCACTAGGTAGTGTAACTCTCCTTCACATTGTCTACCTGTTGGTTCAATCACCTCCACGGCCCGGTCCTGGACCAGGCACTGGGTAATGTAGCCCCATTATATGATTTCTGGAAGGCACCGGTGGTGTAGCCCCCTGGCGACTGTTACTGAAGGCAATATTTTTATCTGGAGAAATTACCGTCACTCCGACAATGTCGTGACTACGACGGTGTGACTACACCAAAATGACCACTCGTTGCTCTACTCCAAAATGACTCCTCGCATTTTTTAAGACCAGATGATGTGCTGAAAATCTCTCTTGCAATGTGAGTCCAGACAGTTTCCTCTTATAAGACGCTCATCATATTATTTTACTAATATATCAATTAATAAAAAACAACACTATTAACATAAATACAAAAAGCATTAGAGACATGTTTATCCACACAAATATATTTTAGTTATAAAAGCGTGTAATTATGTGCAATGCCGGAGGCTCCATCCTCCTCCCAGGTACTAAATCCTGGTCCCAGGTCACTTCTCCCAGAGGAGAGCCGTCAGTGTGACCACCTGGCCACGGCAGCTGCTGATTCCTTGGAGACTATTTCAATGACCAATGCTGATGGTAATTCCAAGACACGTTAAGCATGAAAGAAATCTTCATGACGCTTCGCCCCCAGCGGAGCTTTTATCAAATACTTGATAAACTTCCCGGTGAAGCGTGATATAATAAAAGTTTTTCCTATATAAAGTCTCACTGAATTACCACTTGCTGGCATGCAGATTTATTTACCACTGATAAATTTACATGTGCATCTTTCTTGTGTGTGTAGTGGATGACTGATATTATAGCCTGATTACCCACTTTATTCTGAAGTGAATTTCTTCTGAAGGTTACTTCAGAGGATGTGCCTGGTGTAAAATATATCTGTATGTAGACTACCTGTAGGTGATTATGAGGATCATTACCCCAGCTACCCTCCCTTAAACCAGGCCTACTGTTCAGCCAAGCAAGAAGTGGTCACATTTGTTTTAAAACTCTGGTATACACTCATCTATGTTAGTACCTACACACAATGAGGTGATAAATATCTCCTAACATTGTTTTTATTTATATGATGACCTCGATGAAGCATTTATTGGATCATTTGACTAAAAGCCTGGTCTCAGACCGGG